CTTGATGCGTATTCCCATCGCCTAGAAACATGGAAGTCACTCCGATTTACAAGAGTAACGATCATGAGGACTCCTCGGGCTACTGTACAGTCACTGTCCTCTCGGGGCTATCTACAGTAATGGAAGGTATATTCGCAGTGGCGCTCATAGGACGTCTTAAAACTAACAGCAGCATACGGTCACGGTAGCCCTCATTAATTCGCAATCGTTCATGTTCTACATACTTATTGCTGACCCGAGTAAGTTAGATGGAATCAGTCGATGCCAGGATAACAGTCGACGACGTGTACTTGAACTTCTTCTATACAGCCTTTGATTGCTTGGACCACCGTTTTATCTTACACAAGCTTCGAAACTAGGAAAACAATGAATCCTCGTTTGGTTTGATAAGCAATTTCCTCATTCAGCGTCAGTTGAATGCGAGAGTTATCATCTACAATTCCAACGCAATTAGTGTCCAGTGTGCTGGGCCAAAATGATGGATATTTGGACTATGTCTGTCGCTACCTGTTGCATTTCAGCCACAATAATAGACTGAGATGCTATCGGTTCAAATTAACCACACAGCGCAGTCCAGTTGACTGTTGAAAAGTTGCGTTTTTCGGAGATACCGAAGACCGGATGCCCTTTCAACTCACCTTAAGTTTGCTCCAACATTAACGCTATCCAAAAAATCGTATGACAGCACACTATCCTATTTGCACCATATGTTATCGTCGATTTCGCTCAGGAGGCTTGATAACTGGAACCAAACTGTCTGTTCACTAATCCAGTTAGTAACGAACTGGTGAAGAAACAAATAGCTGTGTTCATGTGAACCGGTTTTAAGTCAGTTAAAAGCAGAGCTTTACGTTTTTGTTTTACTTTTTACTTCTGGTCTTATAATCTTTGATGCGGTCAACCAACGAACCTTCGTTCTATTACAACTTACAAATTGCTGTTCATTGTTTAAGTGTAGATTGGTCATCCTGAATGCGGCTTGCGGCTTCCTCGGTATTTGCACATGTTGAGAGTACACGAATTTAATGTCATCAACCAACAGAAAACTGCACCATACTTTATTTTGAACTATATAGGTCTACACAGATGAGAATTGTAGTGGTCCAAGAACAATTCCTTGAGTTGCCCCATTGGCTGGTGTTTTCGGTTTAAAGAAGTAGCCACCGAGGCGCACTACCTCTGACCTAACAAATATATATGAAACAATCAATAAACATTGGCTCTCAGTGTCCACTACCTGCAAATTTTTGAGTAGTCTCCGATGAAGTACTTCATTGAATACTTTTGCATGTCCAGCAACAGGACTATTTCACTGGTTCCGTTGTATATGCAGCCGTTGGGTGGTTTAGAATGTCATTACGTCATTGTTATTAGGAGTAGGGAACCCAGCGGCAACTTGCTGATATTTCTTTATTAATGAAAATAAGTAGTTCATATTTCATTATTCCCTCTATTATTTTTGATATGACAGTTTTGTGAAGGAAAATGTGTAACTACTTAACCTAATGAGCGGCTCCAATTGTTTGCCGAAAACGCCACCTACATCTTCCATTGAGTAGGAACACTGCTTTTTTTAAAAGGGAGCCTAAAAGCAGAGTTAGGTTGCCTTCTGCGCTGAAGTCATCAGCAAACATCACGTGCGCATAAATTTTGCTCGTTGTTAATTTGGGTTTATCCCTTCAAATGCCATACCACTTCCGGAAATACGCCCAAATTTTTCAGACCGCCAAGTTCTGACCAACGGAATCCAACATTTTGAGGTATCAGATGATATGTTGATACAACATAACTGATAGTTTCGGTATTTCTTTCCCTAAGACTCACGCGTGCAGCATTTTTTTTAACTTCTCTGCAGTGAATTTGAAACACCATGAGACAGGGCTTTTTAAGGCCACCAGTTAAGTTGTGCATGCTCCGCGAATTCAAAGTATCACAACCTAGCGACGAACGTCAAGTGAGATCTCTAGACCCACGATTCGGCAAACGATCCACGGAATAAATTGGGTCATGCAAGCAGCTTCAAAAGTTGTACCATTACGATTATTGCACGGAACCAACAATTGGATTTATAGCATAACACGCAAATGGGTCAGTTGGACAGATAAGATTTGGAACATGCGCTAGTCCCAAGTGGCAACCTATGGCAGCAATACAAATCGGAAACTACTGTAGTCACCCATTAGAGTCCACAACTAAGAATGAGAGATCATGCTAATCAAACTTTAGGTTAAACAATAAACCGCTGTACAGCTACGTGAATGACAAAACAAAGGTTAAGTTTAAAGTGCTACCACTCAAGTAGGCCAGTGCCCTAACGACTACTGTTGTGGACACCGTGAAGTGCTACTCTTGCAGGTTGGCTCCTTGGCTACCAACACCATGTAATGTTTGCCCTGTCCTCTCCCAGTACAAATCGTCGCCAATGCTAGCGTCCTCTTTACTCCATCAACTGTCAGAGAAAACAATGCTCCGGGTAAAGACAAGACCTTTACAAAGGGTATTAAAGCCTTTGTCTCACCATAGCAGTACACCTTGAAGCATTTTTTCCAGTGCACGCTTAATTCCTATACACTCCCGTCTGAAAGCAAATATGGAATCATGGCTTCGATGTACACAGGCAACTGATCAGATCTCACCAACTACCGACCTGTTACTGTCGTTCCTGCGTTGTCAAAGCTGATAGAGTTGATACTCTCAGATGAACTAGCGACATATTTTGAAAGTTTGTAAGTAATGTCTAGTGCCTAACACCGTTTCAGCAGTAGATGGTTTTGTCTCACCATGCATCAGGGCGACTGATGAAGGAGTCCGCATATAGATAGGATTTACTTAGGATTTCCTGCGACATTGTACAGAATCAGTCACATAGTCCTTCCGAAAATTGATTCTTATGCTATTAACATTTCCCTGCTCACTAGGGCTGATGCTTACCCACACGACAGAATGACCAAGGCAAGGATCACAAACACCTAATCTGAAAGCCTGTGTGTCTTCAGTGGCGTGCCGCCAGGGTAGATCCTTTGACGGCTAACGTTGTTAATCTGTATCAATGACCTCCAAGCAGGTTTCCAATCTTCTGTGCAAATGTATGTAGATGTCACTAAGATATGAAGAGCTATTCGTTCAACATTCGACGGGGCTTACGACCCAGTACGATTTGGACCAGATTCAAAAAATGGAAAAAGTGGAACCAATAGTAGGATCTGAATCCCGCAAAGTGCAGCCTGCTAACGTTACGCAGCAGCTTCAGCAACGCATCTCCTTGGTCAACATGCTCTACTAAACGTGACTACGCAACGATATTTGGTCATCATCTTGCAAGAGAATCTGGGCACCACTCCTTTAGTCTAAGAAGCAGATGCAACGAACTTGGTGCCTTTGAGCGATAGCTAGTAACTTTGAGTATATCGTTCATGCCTGGCCTCCGTGATTAAAACGATAGATTCGTCTCTTGTAGCGACCCCTAAGATGAGCCACCAAATCAACAGATGGGTTTCCGGTCAACTGTGAAATGCGCCTCGGTTCAATCGTACTCCCAGATTACGAACGGCTTCGAGGAAATCTCATTCTCATGTACAGAATACTAACAGAATGCGATCATCTATGTAAATCACTGCTGATCCTAGGTCTTTAAATACGATACTGACGTTATGGCCTGAAACTAGATACTTAACACCAGTTTGGATTGTATCAACTTTTTTCACTCTCATGGAAAATGTTAACACTGAAATGCATTGCCAGCCCATGTAATGAACGCATCAAACATCGTGGCATTAGAAAGAAGATCAAACGTATCACGAAGTGATTAGAAAAAAATAGGATAAACTGCATTGGTTAGACTACTGATATATTACTTTCCACGCCGAAACATTTTAGTTCTGATTTTCTTCTGTATGTACTATCCTGTAGGTACTGTACAGCTATGCTTTTTTGCAGCAGGTACTATGGGACTATAAGCGAGAATCTTGACCAGGGATTTTTGCACTAGGGAATTCCACTGTGCACTGAGTTTCACTGATGTGCAGAATGACAAGAACTGGTGTGTCCGATGATACATTAACCAATTTTTCGATAAAGCAATCACTGGATGCTTCATAAATATCTCCACTTAGTACATCAAGCTGTTACATAAACCCGAACAAGGAAAAGTTTAGGTATTTGTATGTAGTAGGGGTATCTATTAGATTTTTCCGTCCCTTTAGGACGAAACGGCCGTCTTACGCTTTCCTGGATGTGTAGTGGCTGTCTGCCTGTGTCTAACTGCGACGAATCTATGGCTATCCAAAACTTTACACTCTAATGAGTGAGAGTACTGTCATACTGATACTACATTTCCTTAGCAAACTTTAGCTGCTGGAATAGAAGCGTAAAGTCTGCAACTGTCCTGAATCTCTACCATATATTATAACGCTTGCGTGTATATTCAACTGGGATAACTTATGTTCCCTTTCGTTGATGATCACTTCGGGTGCTTTACTAGTTGCAGCCACAGTTATCACTTTCATCTAGTAAACAGATATTTCGGACTTGTTTATTGTTTAAATTATGTGCAGGCTGAATTCTTGTGGGATTTTGCGTACCGGCGAGGCTACTGCTACTACTGCACACTAAAAATGTCATCCCTATCAATGAAGAATTGTCTGTAAGGGAACCGTCCTGCTAGTTGAACAAACATCCGTCTCGATGTTCAATCATAATCTGCTACCAGAATTCTTTTACTTGTTAATGGCTCATACCTAATTGTGTCTGATTGATATGCACGAGAATGGCCTAGCTGGTGGGAGCACAAGCACCCGTGAGTTTTGGTTGGTTCTCTCAGCTGAGATAATCTCCACCAATGAAAGTGGTCCGAACTAGCAGCAGCGTTTTTCACTCACCACATCTGACAGTTGTCTCTAAACTGCCTCGCACTTTGTGATCTGTTTGCATTGTGGACCATAATAATGGATTGATTGCCATTGCTTACCTTTGACTACGACCAAAGTACGTCCTGTACAACTATGCGGAAATTGCCAACACACATCAACCATCACGATACCAGCAGAAATTCACTGATCCCGGCGCATGTTCACTTATTCAAGCCCATTAGTATGGAAGAACAGGATGCCACTGTGGTAAGTCTACCATCCGTTAGCACAACACAAATTAACTGGGTTAAGTCAGAGGCGAATTATACACGAGCAAAATATGCAGCGCCATGGATTATCCGACTATGCAAAGGATTGTGGAGAGAATTACAACCGTACAAACATGAACATGTCTCCAGCGCAGTTCACTACACCAGCGGTTCTCAACTGATAAACGAATTAATTCGGTTAAGTGGTAAATCCGATAGATTACTAGCATCCGGGGTTTGGCAATTGTTATTAGAAGAATCGGCAATTGAACCTTGCGATCACCAGGGAAAATCAATTTCAGCAGCGGATGCGAAGGTGGAGGAATTCGTTGATGATTCATCTCGATATTATCGTTGCTGCTGCCCACCGTATCACATGACAAGTTTAGATGAGGAGCTGCAGCAACTCAACCAACATCCGTTGTCAACTTGCCTCATAGCAACTGGGAAGCATCGAATTGATACCCTTCGTAAATACGCTTCCGCTAGTGTTCATACGGATAGTGTTGAGAATGATGAAAACAGTGTTGATAGATTTAGTCTTCTGTTAGACAGGGTATATGAATTGGCATCCGACGCTGTTTTTCGCCGCATTTTACTAAAGCCATGCAACCAAAGGACACAAACTGAATTGGAATTTGTGTTTAGCGAATTGTCCACAAGTCCTTCTCTTGGACAACTATCTATTTCAGTAAGAAAGGAACTTAGCAAGTGCATAAACTATGAAGTTCACCGTGAAGCCGGCGCACTGATATTTCGCCAAGGTGACCCAGGCGATTCGTGGTACATCATTCACCGTGGAAGCGTGTGGGTCCATGTTGATGGTCAGGGCTATGTCTGTCGGCTATCGGAAGGTGACGATTTTGGCAAACTCGCGATTGTGACTGGTTCTGAAAGGGCTGCAAGCATAATACTGGCTGAAAACAATTGTCATTTTCTCCGAGTTGACAAAAATGATTTTACTCGCATTTTAACCGACGTAGAAGAAAGTAGGGTGCGGTTGCGTGAAGGTGAATCTGACGTTCTCATTTTGGAGCGTTGTGCAGGTGTTTTGCCTGCAAATGATAAAAATAAAGTTATCGTAGACGTTGAATCTAAGGATGCGTGCAAGTCAATTTTATCCTCGTTCAATTATTTTATAGTGGCTGGCACTGTGGCAAAAATTCTGCACCATACCATGGAAGTCCATATTAAGGAGCATCATATCAGCGTTGCGCTAAGTGGAGCAAATGCAATCTTGTTTTCCTTCTGCCCCACTTTGCTAGATGAGATGGACACAACCATTGAAGAGGTGCTACTAACTATACCCCTTTTTACCAATTGTCCAGCTGTTTTTTCTGGTCTCATTTCCTACGTACGTCTTGGATGTTTTTCCACAGATCCAACTGACGTTGATGCAATGAAGAAAGAACAAATTAACGTAACACACGCAAACCGCGTTATAGCATTTTTGTACTTGTGGTGTCGATCGTACGGAATTTCACACTTTTCTTCTTTACCGGAGATTGAAGAGTTTTTGTGTCAACTCAGATCTACCATTTTGTGCCACGAGTGTGCGCTTCCATCTCAGCTGGAAGCAATTGACAGATTGATTAATATTTGTTCTTCAGTATGGACGTCTAGATTAGCGAGAGAAAGTGATCATACACTTCCACTTGCTGAGCTGCTTCCTGCCCAGCTTCTTCTTGGTGAACGAATACGATCATTGCCTAAGGCGAATCCGATACGTGTGTTTCCTGGAACCAAAGCTTTGTTCACGCGCAGTCGTAGCTCTGAGCAACAACCTTCAAGGGTGCCACGGTATCCCCTCCAGCTTCCAGCACATTTCAAACCCTTAATTCACATGCCATACTATTTCGCTCGGTTTCACATAGAGCCACGTGCAATGCCACTGACAGCATCCCACACTATCACTTTTACAATATACTCCAACAGAAGCTGCAGACCGGTCAGTTTATGTCTACCTGTGGGTTGCTCCGTGGCAGAAGTCAAGCGAGAGTTGTTACCAAGTATAGCATCTGATGCAAACCTGCAGAAGTATCATCTTGTTGAACAAATGTCCAACGGCGAACATCTTCAATTCGATGAACTTGAGCACTGTGTTCCTCTTGGAATATCTCCAAACAGTCGTCTGTTTTTGATCTCTGAGGAAGAGATTTCTAGTTTCTCTCCATTACCGATGCAATTAAACGACGCGGCCGCAGTTTTAATAAAACAAGACTCCATCCAGCAAATTGATGAATTACATCTCCAACAGCACCAATCCATTTCTCCCGTGCTACAACTCGAAATTCCGACAGCACAGCAATTCCATTTGTTAGATGAGTTGAACGTTGAAGCATTAGCAACTTTATTGACTCATGCAGCTTTACAACTGGCTGTTTGCATAGGACCTAGGGAGCTGATTGCATACACGGTGGGTACTCATAAATCTGCACAAATCACAGCTCATGTGAAGCTGTTAATAACGCATTTTAGCTTGATTTACGCTTGGACAGTTACTCAGGTGGTAACTACGTCGCAGCTCCAAAAACGAGTGCAAACTGTAAAGAAACTGATCAAACTGGCCGATCGACTACTTGCCCCACCTCTTTGTGATCAGCATACCTGTTTCGCAGTTGTGCTTGGTCTACAAAGCTCTCCGGTGGCTAGACTTAGTCACACTTGGCAACGGGTTCCAGTCCGCTGGCGACAAATGTTTAACAACCGACTACTTCCTTTGGTTGATCCTTCTAGGAACCATCGTGCTGCCAGACAATGGTTAACCGCAAGCGCAAATTACTGCTTACCTTTCCTAGCGTTGTTATTGAAGGATATGAGATTTGCGTATGATGCGAACTCTGATGTGTATAAATGCGAATCTTCATCCACACCACTAGTTAACTTTGAGAAATTACGTTTACTTGCACAATGTCTTCGAGTTTGGAACAGGGCAATTTCTGGGTACGAGTTACTACACCCACACTACAGCAAATCCGGCGTACAGGACCCAAGAGCTGAAGCACAATCCGAAGCGAGTTCATTGATACAAATGTTAAAAGATGCCCCTGTAGTAGACTCAAGTGTATTCAACAGCAGTTTGGCATGTATCGACGATGTGCGCTTATTAACCCAATTGTCGTTGTGTCTTGAGGCAAAAAAGGAGTGAATCATCCCAACTATTTGATTGTAAATCAGTTATCTTCCAAAACCAAGTGAGGTTATTTACAGTGTGTGCTGACTGGTGTAATTCTTTTGTGGTAAACCCATAGAGCCTAGCATAACTTCCTTTTTAGAAAAAATGTCCGCCCTATTAACAATTACCCTATTGTGATGTTGGAGTTGTTGCCTGTTACTGATTTTGAGGAAGATAATGTAAACGGACAGTGAATGAAGTAAAGGGATGAGTTATGAAAGTATTCGCAATGTGTGGCAAACATTCAGAATTACCATCGCCAATACGCACGGATATAAGATGATAAACGAACATGGACTTTTCGTAACTGGGTTTGCTACATACAAAGTACCGATGTGCAGGTAATTGTATTCACCTTGATATGTTGCTACCGCGCGCACTATTTACTCTGAAGGATTTCATGTTTTTACTCTATTGATGGCATCATTGCTCCGTCCAATACCTTGCATGCAACAATCGTGGTATATCAGGCAGCAGGTTGTAGTTAAGCGCACAAGCAGCGATTGTTTCGCGGTTAGGGTTCTCATGATGCTTTGAATCTTCTGAGTCGTAAGAAATACGAAGCACTTTCCTACTCTGGATTACCTTGTTTTGAAGTGCACCTTATTGACTGCATTTGTGTTCAAGAACCGCGTGAATGTACTTGAAATCTTTCAAGTTTTCTGTTGAATAATGTAATGTGATATGTTCCATCTGAACAGGATGACGTATACAATAGCAGAACAAAGCAATTTTACTATTATAATATACTGAAACGGTAGTTAATGTTAAGTAAAAATACTCTCTACTCTACCGTTTTTTCTTAGGCAATATCATCAGCGTCGAAAGAAAACGGTCTGCGTTTGCGCTGTTCTAGGTAAGTAGGTTGTAATAATGTAGGGCTACATGACGATGTCAACACGGGCGACATGTACTACTTTAAAAGGTCGAAAATTTACATGATTATTAGCCACCTCCCAACTGTTCTTGTGATTGTATGTGCCTAAGGTTATTTTTCCTCCGTAACACTTATGGAGGTGCACCACATGCAACCACAATACATATAGCGAGTCCTTTAGTCTGCATTTGCTTTCTATCTACTTTGGATTGCATATTCCGTTACCAAACTTCATCTGTAGACTGTACGGCAGAGAAGACGTACCGCGTTTTTCCACTGCCGCTGTGACCACTGCGCTGGCAAAATAAGCTCATGAACAAGGATGAAAAAGATAAAAACACAAAGCATTTATGCTGAATCCATGGAATCGGGAAAGCTGTGTTGGTTAGACTCCACTTGGGTTTTGGTTGGCAATATGCAACCTTATGTACTGCTGCAAACATAGAGTAGTGGTTTTATTAAGTCAAAGGTTTCGACAGATGGATTAAAATCAAGCGGTCCAAGTGAAGAACATTTTCTACGATCGTGCTTGTGTGGTAACCGCTTGAATTAAAAGCCAACAGTTTTTCGGGTCAAGCAATGCATTAGACAAGTAATAGTGAACGTTCGACACTGAGACTGGAAAACATTGTGAAGTTGCTTGAAATGGGAAGTGGTACTGACAATGAGTTACAATCTGAGAAGCAGCTCATGCATCACGATGTATCACAGCAAAGGCATAGCTTATTTCAACCTAACAAACACGTACACTATACACTCTATACACTTTAGTAAGTGGTGGGAAACACAGCTACTGTGCCGCAATACCTAAAAGCAAAAAGGGAATACAATGCAACAGGTGCAAACCAGCTGACATACCGGTAACAGATGGGCATGATTCCGGTAAGCCACCTGCCGATTACCATGCAGCAGAAAAAAGTAATTTACTATGCAAAATTATAAAACGTTAAATAATGAGATCTTGTTTGGTGGGGGAGGCTAAAATGATGGGGTGGAACAAAGTACCTCGAAGCAAGGATGGCACTGAGGTAGGCTCCTAACCGTATCAACAAGTGTATCCAGCCAAAAGTCTTCATCGTCTTTCGGACCCCAACCAGGGAGCCGAAACACTCCAACTGAGGCGAGCACCGATAGGAGTGCCTTCACTCCTCTACACCAAGTCATCGCTTGACCACTCCTCCTCTTCTTCCATCCACACTCCTAGGGTGCAAACAAAGCGCGGCGCGGGAGTCGGTGGGCTGACATGCGTAACACGCGACCGAGCCTTCGGAACCTGGTGCGTGAAATAACGGTTCTGAGCGCTTCCTTTCCTTTGCATGTGCCGTAAACAAGGCGATGAACACGCTCGTTGCTCACGCGATGTTCCCACCAGATGCGATCCAAATTGCGAAGGTACGGGTAGTCGAACGTAACCAGCTTCATTATGTCGGCCGACTTAGGGGCGAAGTTTCACAACTACACAGTAGGGTCGAAAGTACCGCTGCATTGTACACTATACCCTTCAGCACTAGTGTGATGTTGCGCCAGTGCCATAGGTGGGGAAGGTTAGCAAAAGCGCCTTAAGCTTTTGCTATACGGTTCTTGATCTCATGTTCAATCCCACGGGCGCTGATACAACTTCCCAGGTAGTTGAATTTTTGCACAACTTCTAGCTGATCCCCACCAACGGTCAGCATAGGAGGCGGTTCAGGCCAAGCTTGGAGGAAAGCTTTGCACTTCGTTGGTGCAAAGCGAAGCAAAAAGCGGCTGACGTCCATTGCTACTCTGTCCAGTGCAGCTTGGAACGTTCGTGGGCTATCGCGGGTTAGGGTAATATCATCCGCATACTCCAAATCAAGAAGTCCTACACCTGGGAGCAGATCCACACCTTCTAAGTCGTGTCCTATGAACGCGATTTCAAGGACTTCATCAATGGCGAAGTTAAAGAGAAATGGTGCCAGCAGACATTTTTATCTCACACCACACAGCTTTCCGTAAGCCCTCACTCTGCCTGAGCTACGCGCGTATAATGATCGAATAATATTAACATTTGTCTCAGGTACACATTTCCTGAGTAGACAGTCACAATGTGCACGTTTTGCCACCGAATCAAATGCACCTCTAATATCGAGAAGCACGACAACAGTGGGCCGCCAAAATATGTGACGGTGATCCAACAAGTGACACAAAGTGAAGATGTGGTCAATGCAGCCACGACCTCGTCTAAACCGGACTTGCTCTTCACGAATATGACTTTCAGAAGTGCCAGGCAATCTGTAAAGGATGACAGAGGCAAGCCATTTGGAGGCGATGTAGATCAGACTGATTCCTTTATGGTTGCCGCCTTCCGATCGTGAGCCTTCCTTGAAAATTCTGACTGTAACGGAGCGGCCCATGTCGGTTGGGACAGTTTTCTGCTCCCACAATTTCACTTATAATTCGTATACATCATCCACAAGAACAGGTCCCCCGAATGTGAAGTGCGCTGGGGGAAGAGCATCTTGTCCTGCGGCTTTGTTTAACTTCAACACTGCGATCTCACGTTCGACTTCTGAACAAGCGGGTGAATACAGAGGGACAGCTCACGGTGCCGGGTGGTCCGTGGTCGGTGAGAAGTACAACTATTCCGACCGATTAAATTGCCTTTCAAAGTGATCAGCTTAACGCTCCAAGCGTTTTGACAAGTTGGGGATAGGCTGTCCACTCTCGTCACGTATATGTTCACTAACACTAGGTCTTCTGCTTAATAAACATGTAGCCGGGGAGGATCAGATTTGCTTTGTCCACTGGTATCATCAAAGGGCTATTAAATATTTGGTGATTGTTTCGCCGTAATAAATGATATATTTGAATGCTATGCTCGATTTTACTCCCAAGAAGATCAGGACTGTTCCTTCTAATTTATTAAGCTACCTCAACGGATGACGTATTCAGAATGGTTTGGAAACTAGCTGTTGCTCTACATGATGAACGACATCCGTTTTTGCACCAAAATAATCCAAGTTAGTGGTAGGGAGAGTTGAATGGTAAAACTAAAATTTCAGCACATCTATATTTAGTCACACAGTCATTACACGTCCTAAAGTACATTGTACAGCTGTAACATCCTTACGGCAATCTTCAGCAGTGTGCATTCCATCTGGTTTCCATGTGATTACTACCCGTCTCTCTACCAGGTCCTGATGAGGACCAGTTGACTACAGGGGGATAGTATCCAATGTCCTGTTAGTAATATGGTGAAACAGTACCCACCATGCACAGACTGCACGATACTGCATAGAAGAGGATTGGGTGGCATATGGAATCGGCACGCAGACCAAAATGCTTTCAATGACGTAATTTAAATGAAGCATAATTCTTCGCTTGTTTAGGAGAGTAACGTGTTTCCTGTAACTTCATTAACGTGCCCGTCAGTGGAAAGAAGGTAGCAAACATCATCCAGTAACTTGATCAGAACGGTCGTTACCACCCCACCAGCGCAGTGCTCATCGCCAAGGAGAGATGACAACGATGTTGCGGGTATTAGTTCCAAAGGGAACAGATGGAATGCGATGTATTGACGAAACGCGACAGAACAGTAAAACTAACTACTTGGAAAAGTTGCGAGGTAGATTTATTATGCGGCCTTTTTCCGAATAAATCGGCACATCTGCTGACCATGTAGCTAAAATCCTAGTTTCCAAAAAAACGGGTTTGGTAGAGCAAGCTGAAATTCGAGGACAGCAAGAAATGCGCTGGGGAGTTTTCGCGCAAATAAAGCACACCATAGTTATGCCATCTTTAGTATAACACTTGATTTTGCAGCGAGGGCGTTGTGACATGTCATACTCATTGCAGCCAATTACTCACTAATGTTGGGGTTTTATGGGAAAATACGGTTACGTAATTAACGACCCAAGAAATTATAGTGAAAACTCCGAGATTAGGTAGGAAAATAGATTGTCAGAAGTGACAATAGATTGACACAATTTAACAATGTATCACGGTAGTGCACAAGGCGCTGTCCACTCGTATAGCTTGTAGTCAGCCCCGTTGACGTTCAGCGGCCGTGGTGCACGTGATGATTATGTTGTGTCTTCCACGTCTCACATGAGTCGGTAAGGTCAATTGTCCTTGT